TTTCTGACTGCCCATACAGGAAGTCTAATCTGCTGTCACCAACAAATACAAACTTCGTCTGTTTTAAAAGTTTGTTGCCTGTTTCTATGACCAAGCACAACACTGAGACAGCTGTGTCTCATTCCTCTGTGTTCCAATACTTTTCCTTAAAATCACTTCAAGTACTATTAAAAAAAAAAAAAAAAAAGGTAGCTTAAAAAAAAAGCTTAAAAAAGTCTATGATACTTTTTTCCCTTTCTTTTTTTTTTTTTTTTTTTTTTTTTTTTTTTTTTTTTTTTTTTTTTTTTTTTTTTTTTTTTTTTTTTTTTAATATCTGCCTCTATCTGCTGCTTCTAAGTCTAATGCGCAGGAATAAATTAATCAGTTAAGAATAGATGTATTCTTCATAAGCTGCCATATAAATGAGGTAGTTGTGAATTTATTCATCTTATTATTTCTCCCTTCTTTTGCCCCAGTTTTGTAGTTTATTCCTACAATTATCTGTGTTTACTTCTGTAGGTATTAATTTTATCGAATTCAACTTTCCTGATAATATGACTGAGAACAACAATCCACTAAGTGAAGTTTGCATACCTCCTTACCCTGACAGCACCTTTTCTAACTACTTAAAAATCATCATCAAGATGCAAAAGGAAGAGGATGAATTTGATTACACCAAGGACTTCCATCTAATATTCATGGCATCACATTTTATAGATAATATTATGTTCAGTGCATTAAGAATGCATTATAACAAACTTAGCTGCTCTCTACTGGGAACATGGTAGGAAAACACTGAATATAGTTCCAGTTAAACAAGAAATATTTGTTTCTTATATCATGAGGCTTCCTGTAGGAATGATCAAGAAAATGTCAAGCTAAATTTTAAGCTGATGTTTCAATCTGATAGTCTGTGATCCCAGATGTGGTTAAATAAATCGTTATTTTGATTAGGAACATAGTTATTTTGTAACCCATTGGAATATAACCCCTTTATGTACTGGGGACCAAGCTGCTACGTTAACCACTGAATAATGACAGTTTATTTTAAGACAAATAAAGAAAGAAATGTATCTTTTTATCTTGAAAAAGATGTTTTAAATAAAATAAAGTTAATAAATATTTAAATTCATTTGTTCAATTAAACATTGTGTAATAGTCCAAATGCAAAACGAAAATGAGAGAAGTATACATTAATATCCTTGGTTTTGGTATTTCCCAACTCTTACCTGCTTAGCTGTTCAAACTGAGCATTAGTTTAACTCTTGTTTTTTGTTTAAAAGATAAATCAAATCAGATGGTAAACAAATATACCTAAATCTGTCTCTCCAGGAGTGACTGAGAGATACAAAGACATTTTTAGAAGGAGCAAGCCAAGTTCTTCAGCTCTTGCAGGAGCAGCTGTGGAATAATCCCAGGATACTGGCAATGGACCGCCCATATGAATTAAGTTAATTAGGGTGAATTGTCAAATCCTTCCCAGTTAGAGGGACAATGTCATAGTTTGAATAGATTGTTCTCTGAGAAAGAATGTAATTTACTCAAAATTACATAGGTGAGGAGATAGCTGAAGTCCTATTGTGCCTTTCTCTGTGGTGGTGGGTGACTCTTTTCGCAGTTAATCCAGAGGGATTTTAAACTAGTTTGGGCACCTTTGGGCTTCCCAGTAATTGAGGTGGGACAATATCCATGGTAGGCTAAAAGCTCATTGAGGAACCCACCCAGCTTCTTCTGCTCTCTGAATGTTTTCCTAACACAGCAATGCTGCTCTTACCATCTGAGATGGCAGAGGTCAAGCCCAGCTCAGACATGTCTATACAGGATGACTTGCAGAGAAGGAACGTAACTTCCCTGGCACATCTAACCCTAAAGGCACGAAGCTGATTAAATTTCTGGTTTTATTTCCATACAAGCATAAAAAGAATAGTATATTTTGGCAGGACAGGCATAACCCTGCAAAACATGGCACATTATAACAGACTGTTTCATATGAACTGGGAGGAAAATGTGAGAAGATTAATTTTTAATGTTTGTGCTTAAAAATGTCTATGATGGTGGCCCATAGAGAAAAGAGCTTGTTGTTTAAAATCAAAGCTACTTATTAGTCTCCTGATCCAATATGTATGCAAGATCCAAGAGCAAGATGCACTTGTAGCTAGACAACTAATTCCCACTGATATCAAGAACAGGAATAGTCATTTATGAGTGGAGACCCTGGCAACCAACAATAAAATCACCTTTTACACAAATGTACACCAACTCAGAGGTTTTTCTCATGACATTAAATCTCCTTTCAAGTGCAACTTTTGAGTATGGGAAGGAGTACCAAAGCAAGCAGAACAACATTTCTCTCCGGTAAGGTTTTTTTATACATTTCGACTTAAGGTAAATTATGCTGTATGACTTCAGAATTTTTAATCTATATGTCATTTGTTCAGAAGAAATGCCCAATCCTGTCTTGCAAACTCTAGCCATATTAATAAAATAAACCACTTTTGGAAGTTGTTTATAGCATATGAGCTAGCCATCCAAAAAACTCATACTTGACTGCTTTCTGAATATAACATGGTTCCTACAGACTGTAATCACACTGCATCCTGATGCTTGTTTTAAAAAGCTTCTTTTTTTAAGACTCCGAGCATGGCAGAGACTCACACACATTTGCTCAGCAGAATTGAATGTTACTTCTAAGCTTATTTTAGCCAAATTAATATAACTGCTGGGATCATTTAGATTCTTTTTCTCTATGCTTCATGTCTACTCAAGAGAGAAAGAGCAACTTCGCATTCAGACATACATCGCCTTAAATTTTCTGCTCTTTGTCCTCAATAAACCTCCATGTTTGTGGGGGGGGGGGTTGTTTTGGGGTTGGGTTTTGTTGGTTTGTTTTTCAGTTTGGGAAGATTTTTGTTTTGCCTTTTTTGTTAAGTAAGTCTATACTCAAAGCACTAGATTCATATTTAGGCATAAGTTCCATTCACCTCAGTGAGTCTCGATGGGATTTTTGCCTGAGGTAAGACTAGAAGATGCAAACCTGATGTTCATGTGTTCTGACAAAAACATCTTCACACATTTTGAGTTCTTCAGTGCTGACAGTATTGATCTTTTTTCCCCCTACATACAATCAACTCAGTGCATTGAATATTTAATAATACAGGTGATATAAGGACCCATTGTCTGACATATAAATAACACAATAATTGAAGACAAATCTTCCTTTTCTACAGTGTATGCAAGGCTAAATGAATTTTAAAAATCCCATATACATCAGTGAAAATGTAAAAGAAGCTATAATAAAATGGGCATTTGGAAAAAAAAGAACCAATTTTTCAATTTTAAAATATTTTGCTGCCACCTTTTGGAATTGAATAAAATGTGCATCTCAGTGGTTTGTAAAAGGGACACAATTTAGCCTTCAACAGCAAACACTAACATGATTACAGAGAAAGAGTATATTAATTTCTTCTTTATTCCTTTTTAAATTCTTAACAAGTATGTCTGGTTTCACCTTTCACAGAGAGATGGAATAGCACAGATTCAATTTTAAGCCTTTCATATGTGAATAAAATAGAAGAAAAAAACCCATGCATCAAGCATAATTCTCAACAAATACCATGAATAATCAGCAGATCTAGCAATATTTGGTTATAAACAAATATAGGTAAACAAAGCAAGGAGCTGCTCACAGATAGCTAAATTGATACCTAAGCATCAACTAATTACTGACAGGTAATTGTTAGTTTAAATCCAAGGTTACTTATTAGAATTCAGGGCCTCTTTCCCCCAGGTGTGTTGTGGCCTTTGCATAACAGCACTGCTTTTAAAATATAACTGTATATAAATAAACAAGAGGAAAACAAGTCCTAAGGCTCTAGGCTCTGCCCTACATTTTCTCTCTCTGTTTCTGTCAGAGAGATTTTCTTCTGTACAATTTACAAAAATGCAATGCATTTTGGGGAAGATATTAATACATGCAAATATACCACCAGTACAGAGAACATGTCAGAAGTTCTTTATTATCACTAAGACAACTGGAGCACTAGTCTTATTTTAGAAAAGGAGTGATCAGAAGTATTTAACCTGGAGAAAGAATAGAAATGTCCAGATCTGTAAACAGTCATGAAGTCGACAGCTTTCCTGTGATGCAAGAGATTCCCGGAGAGGCCTGGGATTCAGATGCCTCCATCATGGCTCGTGCAGGGGACAGGTGACCTCCAGGACAGCCAGCTTTGCAGGGAGGTGTGCTGCTTGGCAGTGTGTCTGGTCACCTGGGGGCTGGGGCTTGCCAGGTGTACTGCACAACCACCCTTTGGGGAAATAAAAGTCGGAGTATTAGGAGGCTGGATATTAGAAGTTCTTTACAGAGAGAGTGATCGGGCATTGGAATGGCCTGCCCAGAGAGGTGGTGGATTCACCGTCCCTGGAGGTTTTTATGATGAGGCTGGATGTGGCACTGAGTGCCATGATCTGGTAATCACAGTGGGGCTGCATCAAGGGTTGGACTTGATGATCTCGGAGGTCTCTTCCAACCCAGTTAATTCTATTCTATTCTATGAGGTGCAAGCACCAGGTGATTTATGCCATTGTAATTCCTTCCTCTTTGAAATGTCTTTAAAATAACACTCGGGTGCCAGGAGATCTTTATTCCAGAAAGCACTGAAACGACTATGTTTCTCGTGGAGAGCACTCAAATCGCAAGCGGGAAGTTTTTGGACAGTGGCCTGACTGCAAGAGCGGAGCCGGTGAACCTGTGCCAGCCCTGCTGCGAGCGGCACGCACGTGTGGATGTGCACCTTATGGAACAGGGCCACATGCAGGGCGTGGGCATCGACAGTAAACCCTGTCAGCGTCAGCCAGCCGGTGTGTGCCCGGCGCGGGTGCAGCGTGGCCGCGGCCCGGCTAAGGAAGTGGCGCTGCGGCCACGCACGGCTGTGACCCGCTAATAAAGGCACTCGCCGGCGCGGCCGTTGCCGGGCGACGGGCGGGACCGCGGCGGGGCCGGGCCCGGAGCTCTCCCCGGAGCTCTCTCCGGGGCTCTCGGAGGGCAGGACGGCGGCCTCGGGCACTGCTTGCTGGCAGCGAGACGCCGCCGCCATGGCGGGTGGAGGCGCGGCCGGCCGGGCGGCGCAGGTGAGTGGCGGTGGCGGCGGCACGGGCTGCGGGGCCTGCGGGCGGGTCTCTGTCGCCGGGAATAAAGTAACTCGCTGTTAGAGCCGGCACAGCCAAGACGATGCGCTGTGCCGTCAAAATGAAAGCGAGGAAGCAGGCTTCTCTCCGCGGGGACGCCAGGAGGGGGCTCCCCGTGCCCAGGCTGGGAAGCGGCGGCTCCGAGGCGGGAGCAGCCCGGCTGCCCCGCTCGCTCCAGGCAGCGCTGGCCACCAGCAGGCACCTCGGGAAGCTCCTCAGACCCGCGTAAAAACACCCGCTCCCCAGCTTTCGGTGGCTTGGGCTCAGGGCCTTGAATCTGGAGAGGATGCTGCATTTCTTGATGTGTTTTTCATCTATAAGTAAGGCCAGTGGTTTTCAGAACCCATTTAAACGTGATGTGTTCAGGATGTCCTGCAGCAGAGAGTCCAAAATATGTGAAGTCCTTCCATTGTTTTGAACGTGTCACCTGCTTTAGGCTCTTGCATTTCGACAGTCAGTGCTCACCTGCTCTCCCAGACCCTTCTCTTGGGCTCTTGCTGATCAAAACATACAAAAGTGGGGGGGGGTGGGGGGAAGTGTCACATGGTGGTATGTCATAATTGCCAAAAATGGAAAAGGGATTTGCAATATATATTTCTCATGAAGAAGAAGTATAAATTAATACATGGAGATTTGTTGTTCATTTGTTTGTTTGTTTGTTTTTTAACACAGAAATATTGAGGGAATGGTGATGGAATGGAAGCACTATCCTTCACAATAATTATCAGTTAAATAGGCTTAACTCTGTTCCTTAGTTTTATTTACGTATGTTTGGGAGGGGGGAATTAGTGATGAACTTTTTCAATTAAATCTTTCCATCTATGCAAAAGTTATTTGTGAAACTGTTTCAGAACGAGCTACAGGAAGCAATTTCTGCTCATGCATCAAGCAAGCAAACGGATGAATACTCAGACGACTTTGAGAGTGATGAAGATGGCATGTTAAATGGTAAGACAGAATTAAATATTTTCCTTGTGTTCTTCCTCTTCTTAACTCATTGCTATAGCCCAGCCAATCTTTGTGAGTCAGTATGGTTTAATGTTCCAAGATTTCATATTTTAACAACTTCTAAATCACTGAGTCCTCCTCTTCTAAGTTAGGAGCAGAATTCCCAATGAAATCAGTGGTGGTGCCAACCTGCTAGACCAGGTGCAGTCTGTACTGGTTCCTACCATTGTGATGCCCAGTTTTCCTCTGTAGCCATCTTCTGTGAGAAGCTGCCAGAAGGTTACTCCATGTCCAGCAGAGCAAATGCAAGCTGCTCCAAGACAGACTCGCCACTGGCCAAGGCTGAGCCAGTCAGAAATGGTGGTAATGCTTCTGTGATAACATGTTTAAGAAGGAAAGAAAAGTTATTGTTCAGATGTAATTGTGGCCAGAGAAGAGCAGAGTGAGAATATGTGAGAGGAACAACTATGCAGATGCCAAGGTCAGTGGAGAGGGAGAGGGAGGAAGTGCTTCAGGTGCCAGAGGTGAGATTCCCTTGAAGCCCATGATGAAGACCATGGTGGGAACAGGCTCTGCCCCTGCAGCTCATGGAGGACCATGGGGATACAGAGATCCACCTGCAGCCTATGGAGGAGACCCACACCAGAGCAGGTGAATGCCTGAGAGAGGGCTGTGAACCTGTGGGAAACTCGTGCTGGAGCAGGGTCCAGGCAGGGACCTGCATGGAGAGAGGAAACCACACTGCAGCAGATTTGCTGGTAGGACTGTGGGGGATCCATACTGGAGCAGACTGTGCCTGATGGACTGCACCCCAAGGAAAAGTGACCCATGTTGCAGCAGATTGTGGAGAGCTGTTGCCTGTGGGATGGTGTCACTCTGGAGAAGTTTGTGGAGAACTATCTCCCATGGTAGGGACCCCACGCTGGAGCAGGGGAAGCACTCCTCTCCGTGCTCAGCAGCGGGAACAACGTGTGATGAACTGACCATAATCCCTATTCCCCATCTTCCTCTGTCACTGTGGGGGGAGGAGGTAGAACTGGGGAAGGAGGGGCATGTGGGGGGAAAGGTGTTTTTAAGATTTGTTTTACTTCTCGTTATCTTGTTCTGATTTTGTTGGTAAAAAATCCAATTAATATCCTCAAGCTAAGTCTGTTTTGCCTGTCATGTTATTTGATGAGTAGTCTGTCCCTGTCCTTATCTCAACTCATGAACCTTTGTTATATTTTTTCTCCCCTGTCCAGCTGAGAAGGAGAATGATAGGGGGGCTTTGGTGGGTACCTGACATCCAGCCAGTGTAAACCCACTACTACTTTATGTTTAGTTTAACAAGATCGGCCAAATGACTCTTTTTCTTCCTGGTATGACACTGAGTGTTAAGGAAAATAGGAATTTTAAAAGGACTTTCTCTGTGTCCTGTTTTTCTTTCACACTTAAAACATCTTCTTGCAGTTTGCGGGATGCTTTGATTTCTCTTTGCTGACAAGATTTAGAAAAAAGCTCTTCCAGCAGTAAATAAATTACTTTATCATGGCATTCTTTCACCACCTTCCTCAAGCATTTGAACTCTGAAATTAAGCTAGTTAGCCATAACAGACTACAGGGAGATAAAAATATTTTTGTTAAACATGTGAACCTTAGCATTGGACCAGATACATCTTGGAGTGTCTTCTAGTAGATTGTAGATGGAACAGAAGTGAAGGGAAGGCTTCTGATACCAAACAGACTAGCTTTGTTGCTGTTGACTTGCTTTCACTTCCAGTGGCATTGAGACAATGTTTTTTAAAAGGGTTTTGAATTGCGTGGCAGAAAAGAATTAGTGAGTGAATATTTTTCTTTGGATTGGGTCCATGGAAACAAATGACAGGAAAGGAAGTAAAATAAGGCTGTAGTCTGGTGGCTTTGCAAACATAAGAGGCACAGAAAGAGAAGCTCAGAAACTAAGGTCAGGAGGATGTTATATAAAAAATAGTTTTATGTTGTAGAAGATACAGCTTCTGTGTTGCGTTTTTTCCCCCACTTGTCTCGAATGCAAGTTGATAATATGCCCTTTACAGGTATTGAGGAAGAATTTACTGAAGGTTATTCACGTGCTGCAAGCATTGGTGAATCTGTTGCTATTGGGAGTTCTCTCCTGAATGATGATGCTTCACAAAAACTAGCAGATTTGGAAAATGAACCTGCTGATGACTTGACTTCGTCCTTTCATGAAGAGGAGCTTCAGAAAATAATGGTTTTAGAAGGTGATAATATATCGGATGACAGAAAAGATGGTAAAGAAGAATGTTTGGAAGGTCGAAATGAGGGTAATGACAGAAAAAATAATGAAGCGCTTTCAGCTGCTGAAGACTTACCATGTGATAATAGTGATAGTGATGACTTGCCTATTCATGAACTACATAAAAAAAGAAATCAAGAGGAAAAGCAACCAACAGTAAAGCCACGGCTGCACAAACAAAGAAATACTTCATCATCAGGTGAAAAGAAAACCTTTGAATGTTGTTGCTGCTACTTGCTTAGCCATGCTACAGTATTTTAAAGTGGTTTAGTTTAGGTTATTTTCTGTGTTAACGATCAGCTACTTTGGCTTGCAGCCAGACCTTCTAAAAATACATAACCTCCAACTGCCGGGGGGTAAACTGTGAAAAATTGTGGGCCAAATAGCAGGAGGTTCCTGTTTTCCTTTCAGAAGATGAAAAACAGCTGTTCAGGTCCTCGAAGTTCAGCTCTTCATCAGTGCATGTCCATGAATGGTGTGGGAGGGTTACCGAGTTGCCTCTGCAGTATGTGCCTAGCTCAGAAAGCCATATTCACATAGTGTCCATAGCCTCCATGTATCTTTCCATGGGGAAGGTCATCAAACAGCCACCCCTTTTCTGTGACCAGGGAAGTTTGACCACACTGTTTGCAAATACAATGTTGAAGTTGTGATACTGAAGCATCATGAAGCTGTAGTGTAACAGAATGCTAGAATGGTCGATTCTCATCATTGCCAAGTTAGAACTTCAAACGATCTTTTACTTTAAGGATGCTGACACACTTTGGATGTATAGTCAAACACATAAAACTCCCTAACTTTAATGTTTCATTATAAGACTAGCTCATGCATTTTTAATGTGCAAAGCAGAGCCTGGAATTCTGCTAATTAACTGTATGTGCTTTTACAAATATAAAATGTCAAAAGACTTCACGTTCATATCCAATTCCATTCATATTCTTATCTAATTCCATTCTAATCTTCATGTTCATATCTAATTCCTAATATGAGGGGAATTTGTCCTGTTTGATGTTGAGATAAATTTATGGCTGGTCATTAGCTGTGATGGAAGATTACAGCTTTGGAATTGCTAGAGCATGGTTAATGATATCGGCTCCCTTTTATCTTTCCACGTGATGGCACCAAAGTGCTGGATTTTTGAATGTGCAGTTGGCAGTGCAGACACTTCTCTGTCCTGGCCGTTGTGCTTGTGTAGTTTTACACTGGCAGAAAAGAAGTAGAACTACTTGTCTTCATGTGAATCAAAGTAGTGCAGTGATACTGGCATATGGGTTTTCAATTCAGAATTCTACTTGTCACCTTGAACTTACCTTCATCATTGTAGATCTAGATTGAATTTCTTAGATTATGAGCATTGATATTCCTTTCTTCAGGTAATTTGGAGTTAACTTCTAATCCAAGAATTCTATTTCTTTTAAGAATTCTATCTCAAAATTGTAGAAGACTGTAATTTGGTTTCTCCAGGGCCTTTTTTGGTTTGTGTCTCAATTGTTTTACAAATTTGTATCTCTGCATTAATGGTGAAGTTTTCTTTAAATCCCCACTGCAGAATCTTTGTGTTATTTCCTCATGTGTCCCACACCCCTGAAAGACATCACACAATGAAAGTTTTTGTTACCCTAAGGGCTGTGCAGACTTCACTAGTAGTTTGCTAGATGTCAGAAGATCTCCTACTGTAATTGCAATGACTGTTGCTTTTGGTTTCTGCAGTAGAACCACATTTGGGTGGTAAGGCAGCTGGAAGTTTTGCCTTTGTTGTGCTCTCACATTCTCTAACATTAGTTAAAGCTTCAGTTGCTACTCCAGTCTTACATTTAAATACAGGTGAATACTCTTCTTAGTATGTAGTTCTTAGAAGGAAGTATACAGAAAATACTGTATAAGATTTAGTAATAATTTCCATGGACAGGTGTTTTTTGTACAGAAATAAAAATACTTAGGAACAATGAAATTCTCACTAATGTGTCCTTTCAATCTTTTTTCCTCCCATTAGGTGAAGATCAGAAGACTGTCAACACCAATGACTTGAAACTGGAGGACAATGGTAGAAAATCTTCTTCTGTGATAGAACAAATGATGACCACAGCCTATGAGAAAACAAGGGAATTGGAGAACCCAACACCTGACAGTTCAGATGGAACAATGAAAATAGCAGAAGGGCAAATAATAACTGGTACAATGCAGGAGGTATCAGTGAATGGTCAGTCTGAACATAGGGAGGCAAAGCATGCATCAAAGAGCACTGTCAAGGTATTACTCATAAGCGTCTTGCCATTGTATGGAACAATGTCCTAATGTGGAAAGTTTTGTGAAGTTACTGTTGGTAACCTAAATGTGAAAATGCTGTTTGTAAAGCTCAGAATTTATCTCTGGCTTCTAGAGTTGAGACTCTACCAAATTCTATATAGCTTTATAGAAGATGTAGGGAATACCTTTCATACAAGTCGTTTAAATCAGATAATTTAAATCAGACGTGTGTTTTCCAGTCTTAAGAAAGTACCCTTGTAGTGAAAATGGCAAATCTCTGTTGTGAGGCTAACCAAATTGCAGTGAGCAGTGTATGTTGGCAGAGGATGGAATCCCTGGTGTGACCCGAGTAAGGGATAAGTTGCAAAGCACTCTATGCTTTTTCATAAGAAAGAAAATACGTAGATACATGTAATTGTTAAAGCTAAGTATTCAAAAGAGTTAAAAGAGAGTTGATAAAATGAGAAGGGAACCCATTGCCAAGCTGGGTTCTTTTTATTTCTTTGCATTTCTAAACTATAGACTATATTTTTACGTAATGCAAATAAACATTTATGGTGCCATTTGAAAATTATACAGGCATTCCTAAAGTTTTGATTTGTATTAGTTTGGTTGGTTGTTTTTTTCTCCTTACTTTCTTACCCTGCACTGTACCTCCTTTGTATTAGAGTGGCTTTCTTGCCTATTTTTGTAACATCATAGAACTATAGAATATCTCAAGTTGGAAGGGACTTGTAAGGGTTAAGCCCAACTCTCAACATCCCTGTTAGCTTGTAAAAATCTGTTTCATCCTAATCTGGTTCTGTTGCTTGAGAGACTCTAACTTTTACTTTTCCTCTGTTTGTTAGAAACCAAGTGAAACAAAGGAGAGAGTTCTACAAAACTCAAATGCTTTATCTGACAGGTAAGAGAAAGACCCTTAGTTATCACAGTCTGCACAGTGTAAGATGCATGCTTCATCCTTATTTTCTGTCAGCATTGTATTCACTGCTGACAACCTCTGACAATCTGTGAAAAACCTTTTAGTGGATGAGGCATGTTATTATGACCCTTGCTCAGGTTTATACCCAATCAGACTCCCAAATCTTTTGACAGTGTGTGTGATGTGTGTGCTACTGGAGTCTTTACAGGTTTTGAGCTGCTTTTTAGGTGAAAGTGTAAGGAATATGTAAACTTTCTTGACCTGGATGTGTTGCATAATGGCTTGTTTTGGCAATAATAAAGCCCTCAGAAAAAAAAGAGGTTCTTCCTCCTTTTCTTTTCCCCAGTCCCCAGTCAAATGCATATGAAAAACCAATCAAAATAACTTTTGGTATGTACTGAAATAAAGGGAACAGTGCTTGGTATCAGCTACAATAAATGGAAAGATCATTAATGTGTTTGTGTCCTGGTATTTTCATAGGTCTCCGTCTTCTGGGCACCTAAAGACGAAGATGAAAGCTGTTCCATCAGCTACACCTGTTTCATCTCAATATCTGGGATCATTAAACCTGTTAGAGGATAAATGCATGCAGAAGAAAAGAACAGAATTTGACAAAGCAGATAATTTAAGAGCAGCTGTTTTTCAGGTAGATCTTAAAAATGAACAAACAAACTAACAAACAAAACTGTGCATAGAAAGTTCCTGATTTAGGGGTCAACACCTCATATTTCTTGAAATCGATATTTTTTACTATATTCCTTGCATAGGCTTACAGGAGTAATAATGCTTTTATTCTGTTGGGTATTGCTTTTCCTCAAGTTATGAACTCAAAAGCTATATGAAAGGGGCATACTGTGATTCATAATTTATCATGTCAGACTGTTTTCAGGCACATATTTTCCTTTATTTCTACTTCATCTTTAACATGAGTGTGTAGTTTAAAGTTGCTCTTTTTTTTCCTGCTATGTTCTATTCAGCTGGCATTCAAGAAAAGTAATAACAGATCTAGTACACTATCCGGAAGAGAAATCTATGTAAATTCCATGTAGAATTTCACAAGGATTAGTTTATGGTTCCAACAGATTTTTGCTACTAATCTATTTGAGAACAACTTTAATTACAGAAGCTGTTCATGTTGGTATGTGTTTTTAATACTTATTATGGTTCTAGAATAAATTGAATGTCAAATGAATATTCATATTGTCTCCATAATTTTAAAGGTAAAATAGTCTTCGTTTAGGACACTTGTATCTCTAAGCTGTATACCAAATAATATAGTTAAATCTTGAAGATTTAAGTCTCTCTCTTACGAGCAGATTGCTCATAACCTTTTGTCGTTGCGTGAAGTCTCACTCTTCCCAGAAGGGTTTTATTCTCTTTAATTATAGGAATCTGCTAGACAGACAACAAATGCAAATAATATTCCTGTATACCAAGTGATAAGAATCTTTATTTTACTCTTCTTTTTAATTTTGTTTAATGTTTACTTTTTTTTTGGTGCTTCCATGAAGATTTTTTAAAAGATATTTAAGCTATTTTTAGACTTTGTAGCTTTTGATTTTAGAACCTTAGACGCTTTTTTGATCACAATGTGTGTGTGATAACAGGTTAGTCCTCCACACGGGGTAGTTATTTAAGTAGCACATGGAAGAATTAAGAGGAATTTGGTGGTCATTATATTGGTGCTGCTCTTTACTTATACCTTAAAACGACTTTAAAAGTCTTTAATGATTCTTGCAGAATTGGTTGGAAAAGAAAAAGCGCTTTCTAATGGAATTAAAGAGAACTGAAAAGGAGAAAGCTGAAAATCTGAAGAATGATACTGAAAAGGTTTGTTTACATTCTTGTTTAAAAAGAAGTTGACTAACTATAATTCTTTGAAGCGTGCTTGCCTGTGCTTTTTACCTGAGTGCGTCAATCTGCTGTTGTAAGGCATCTGGTCTTCTCCAAAGAGGACGAGGTGATTTGGAACACTAAATGGCATGTCCTGCTTGTTATGGTTTTGGAAAACGGTGTGTCTGATGTTTCTACACACATTTACATAAGGTGTTGTTAAAAGTGTGCTTTTTAGATTAATTTGCAGGTTTGTTTACAAAGACCTTGGGATGCTCAACTCTTAAGGTGCTACGTTTTATATTGCCTATCAGAACATAGGGGGTTTACTCCCTCCCTCAAGAGATGCTTATCTACAGAGGACTGTATTTTGAATAGTACCGTACATATTCTTCAATTTAACTTTTAACTATTTAATACCTTTCACTGCCAAGCATTTAACATGTGTTTCATATTCTTGTACACATATTTTGCTGAAGTAGTTTGTTTCAGTTGATAAACATAAATTAAAAATGAGCATAGAAAAAACTCGGCCATATATATTTAAAATTTAGTTGTGAGTAATACTTGAAATGTTGTCTTCAAATAAATTTCTATTTCTTTCTTTCTCCATTAACGATTAGATTACAGCATTTTATCTCAATTATAATTTTATGTTGAAGTGTATTTAAATGTAGACTTTTATTTACAATCTAGAAAGAAGCACTTAGAAGAGAGGAATCAATTGCATGTTTTGAAGCCTGGAAAAAAAAGAAAGCAAGAGAAGCAAAGATGTTAAGTGAAAAAAAGAAGCTTGAGGAACTTGAGGAAAAAACCCCAGAAGAACAGAATAAGGAGAAAATAGAAGCAGCACAGGTGGTGATGTGAAATATGTACAAAAACGTGTATCGAATGTGGTTCAGGAGATTGTAGAAAAGAATTCTGATTAACCCAGAAAGAGATGGAAACTAACTAGAATCTGAGTCTAGACATGCTTAATTTTTGAAGTAAGTTCATATTAGGTTATGTTCTGCCAGAAATGCATAATGTTTACATTTATAGACAAATGTACTTCTATATTTGGAGTCTATTAACTGAATGTAAAATAAACATCATATAAATACATTTAACTAGTACTTGCCGTCAAGAAAACTTATTCCTGTGAGGCATAGTGATACCCACTTCTAAGAAATGCTGCAAACAAATATTCCAAAATTGACATGTATCGAAGTACAAAAATAATAATACAGAATAGGCAAGGGGAGTATTGACAAAAAGATGAGGGGTAAGATTTCTCACGAATCTTTGTTTTTCTTTAGGCATTCAAGAGATGGAAAGAAAGAAAAGTGGAATATTTAAGAGAGCAAAGCAGAAAGGAAAAAGAGTCTGAAAGAATCAGGAAGGAGAAAGAAGAGGAACTGATTGCAGAGAAGAGGAGAGTCAGCATATCAGCAGTTGAAAAATGGTACTCCACCACTGTGTTTTGCTGTGTCATATCTTCCAAAGTCTTTACTTATAAATGTATTAGGTCTTCTGTGAGTGCTTGATGTACTTGTAGTTGTAAGACAGTGGCATACTTGGGATCAGACTCTTCAGTCCCAATGGAGAATAAGTATAACAGTGAAAGCAAGATGTACAGCTCCTTTCAGTTTAGTAATTTAATTGCTTTCTTCCCCAAAAGGCTACTAAGCCCAGTCAGAGACACTGCGGCAGAGAAATAAGATTCACTGAGTATCATGTCTTATGTGGTTAGGTTTCATGCTTCATTACTAAGCCATAGGAAGGTGAGTAAATCTTTAATTTTTGTGGAATACAATGTATGAATGCAGAGATATGCAGGAAGGAAGGAACTGAGATGTATTTGCTGGAGAAATTCTGTGTTAGTTTTACAGGCCAAGAGTTTTCACAGACCTTGTGCAACTTACAGTTACCTACAGAAGTTCAGAATCTAAGGGGCTTTTTATGATACTAAATAAGGGAAAAGGAGTACAGAAAAGGAGATGCCATAACAGATAGAGTAGTAGGTTCATTTATACCTAGGTGATACATCAAAATGGACTGGGAAGATTTTAAATATATATTTTCAAACTTTTATTAAAAGTATAAAATATCTCTCTTGACTCAGTTAATCAATCACAGGTGCAGAATTTAGTCTGTTACATGATGATCTCTTGTTCTTCCCTCTCATTATACAGGATTGAAAAGAAGGAAGAATATATAAAAAAGAAGAAAGTAGAAAAATTCCTAGAGAGGAAAAAGCAAGAAATGCAACGGGCAAAGAAGGAATTAAAAAATGAAAAGGCTATAGAGGAATATGAAAGATGGCTGGTATGTTTGTTTGGGGATTTTTTTTGCACTGTCAAAACCGAAAAGTTTAATCTAGTAAGTAATGAGTGTGATCAGTTGTGTATTGTGATACTCCTGCGATTTTGTGCTGTTATTAGAGAGGCCAGACGGTGGCAACATTGCATTGCTTGTCCTCCAGAATTCATGAGCAAAATGATGGTAAAGTGCGGTGGACTTGATATTTGGCAGACATGGAAAATATATTCTCCCTACGTACATGTTACAGAGTTTTCAGTTTCGTAGTTACTCTTCATTTTTTACCATTCCACATCAGGGGCAGCCTCTCTGAAGGGCCAACTCACCACAGCACAAAACCTGCAAAGCCAAACAGCATCCCCAGCTGCAACAGTGAGTGCATGTCCATTCAAGGAAGCATAGAAAGTGGAGACTGGTATACCTTACAACTGGTAAAAGCACTTGTAATGACATTCAAGATTATTATTACAAGAAAGGGTGGAACTCTGATGCTCCTAATTATATTTTTCCCCCAACTGTGTCTCGTAGTCCCAGTAGTTAAGCAGTAAACTAACCTAGTACTCCAATCCCAACAGTTAGGCAGGTTTTTTTCCCTTGATACAGAAAGGCAAACTAGAAGAGATATCACTAATATTCTTAGCATATATTGTTTTCTTGAAGGTATGTGACTTTCTAGTTTAAAGAAGAACCTGTGTTTTAATTCCTCACCCTGTGACGCAGTCATTCCTCATGCTGACTCTTAAGGTGTTCTTAGTTTGAGAGTGTTTCTTCTGTTGTCTCTCTTCCATGATTTCTTGCACACATCCTATACATACGGTCTCTATTGCCGTTTATAAGATGTAATCTTGCAACTCATCTGACTTAAGGTCCTTACAGGAACTTCTTTGTACTGTCGATGGCTAAATAAAATCTGGGTTTGTTTTTTTTTAATTTTTTTTTTAGGAATGAGGAGGCAGAGAGATGAGAACTGAGGCAGGCAGATGTACAGATGTGGGACAGATTTAAAAAGGACAGTCATAATTTACTTGGCTAACTCAGAAATACACAGTTGCATAAAACAGCAAGAGCCTGCGTATTTTCTCTTCTCTCTGTTTTCAAACTGTTTTAGTCTGAGGTTTAGATATTTTAAGGTATTTGACCTGGTCCCTGTTGGAGTACCTCTGATTTCTGTAATGACTGGTGAGAATTATTTTCTCTGGTCCTCTTTGTCAAGTGATTTTCAGCTCAGTTTAGTCAAATTATTAATGTCCAATCTCAGATTATTTCTTGCTTAGTCAATATTCCTGGTTGCCAAGGAAGGAAATGCTACACTTTGAGCAGTAACTAGGGCACTGTCCTCTATGCTCTGCTTACTGGGACTATCCTAATAAGTGTAGTAGTATCAAAGCCTGAAAGTTACTGTGCTGTCCTGGACTCTGTACAAAGGTAAAAAAATTATCCTTTTTTTGGAGAATGAAAGATGCTGCCTAGCACAGGCTCCCCTGTTCAAATTGTGTATAAATTCCTGAGGTCACCACTTTAGTGGGATTATTAATACGAATTTTAGTAGTTGGAGGAATGACCAGATCTAACTGGATGTACAAGTGCCTACATGAGAGGAGCACTTTGAAAAATAAGAGGTGTAGGAGGATGGGATAGATACGGAACTGGTTGGCAGAGGTACCTCTAAAATGATCTCATTTTCAGTGTCTATGTGCAGGTATTGACTGATGTGTCTCATGCCCAATTTTCACATTTTTACTTTCAGAATTTGTGCTGGCTTTTCTCAGCTTAGACACCTTTATTTCGGAAAGCATATTGGGCAGTAGCTCTGTCATCATGTTTGGCCAGAATATTGTCTCACTTTGTACAGTTATAGAAAAAATACACACCTTTACTGAACTGCAGAAAAGAAACACTGTAAAGATGTCATTGGGAACTAAAGTTGTCAAGGGAACTAAGATGATATCTACCTGCAGGTAGATAAACAGGAATCAGATCTGAAGGCAGAACTGGGGAGGCCTTTTAAGTGTATTGTTTCAGCTAAGGAGATTTTGTTTTGAAGGGAAATAAAATAGAAGTAATATAGTGGGAAGTATTCTAATATGTTTTCATTAACATTCAACACAAATAAATGTGTTTACATTCATCCTCAGGTTTCCTGAACCAAGTGTTGACCATAATGCATGGATAAAACAGACATAAAAATCTCTTTGGAGTTCTTCTTAAATAGAAGAAACATTCTGCTTTTATATTAACGGAAATTCTGTTACTTCTGCTTTTAGAGATCATTGTGTGAATATTTGATAACACAAATTGCATAGAGAAGATTACTTTTTAAGCCTGAAAATAAATGCCCTAAAAACGGTTATTAACACTTTTACAATACTAACATAAAAAGGATAATCTTGAGCTGAGATGCTTTAGTATTGCCTGGGAAATTTAAGCTTCTGATTATTTTGTTTCTTTCCTCCCATTTGCCTCTTGCTACTCACCAAGACCTCTTCAAGCCAATTTAGCCTGATAAATTATAATTTTTTACTTAATGCATAATACCAGTGTCTGACACTTGTTACTGACATGCACCTGTTCTGAGGAGTGAAATGGGGAGAAGAATCACACTGAAAGTTTAGTTTTTATTTATTTCTGAGATATCAATCTTGATTCCTGTTTACTGTGCATAAAAGTGAGTAACCTAAATATGTTATGTTGTCCATTTTCTGTGTTATACATTAACATAGTATGAGTTGATGAGAAGTAAGGCTGCTTTCAAATAATTCTTAAAGATCAACATAGTAAGGTTAAATGCCCTTGAAGAAGTTTGAAATTTTACCTTGAGGTTGAGAATGTACAATATCTATTTTTAGCATTCTAAAGCTGTTTAAAAACATCAAGAAAGGATGTACTGGATGAGTCTCATGGATTTGTCGCTTTTCTGGGTTGGAAACAGCTGATGTGGGTTGTTCGTTTCATATGATTTAATAAGATCTCTCTGCAAATACTTTCTATATTGGAATTTTTATGTCCTGGTATTGCAGTATGTTAGAAATAAGGCTGCTATTGTCACTCCTCTTCAATGTTGTAAGTCTTCTCTAATATCTAAAATTCAATTATTATGTGGCAGTCATTCTGCCAAAGAATGTGCTCTTCCCAGAATTTGGTGGGTGAAAAATATATTCATCTTACTAGTTTATTGAGTGGGAAACTTCCACAGAAATCAGGCTATACAGTTGAGTTGATCTACTGTATGATGAGCTACAGTTATTGATTTAGTCTTTCACTGCTTCTGTCACGCTTCTTCTATTAGTGCAAATAACATCTTTATTATTTTATGGAATATTTATGTTAGCTATATCTTGTGAGAATGTGCACTGTGATTAGGACGAGCACATAAAAAGCTTTGTGTGTGTTGAAGACAGGGAAGAAGCCAATAAGTCACAAATTTAATCTTTTTAAAAACAGTTAAATTAGCTCGAGATTCTTTCCTTGGCACTAGGATTCATTAAGGAAAACTGGATCTTCAAACGCAAACATTCAACACTGAGACTCAATTAAAAAATACAAAGCAACTTTTGTTCTCTTCCTAGGTGGATGTTCGCTTTATTTTTCGTTTGGTTTTTCATACATGAATCTATTGTGCACATATATTTAGTAAAGAGTACTTGACAAACATGAAATATGCACATTTTTTGTAATGTGATTGCTCAAATAATTGCCAATACTGCTGCAATTATTTTTAATGAGTTTTCACCTACATGTCCTGATGGTACACATAGCCTCATAGATTATAATTCTATGATTTTGTAAAATTAAATTGACTGGATATATGCAAAAATTCCAAAACAGGAGCATGTATCTTGTATATGTTCCATTAGAGCATATTCTTCCCAAGCTTGTCTGTACTACTTGACATATCTTGTTGTCTTTTTTTGAAGAATACCACTGATAATGCAGACTGCTTTCCTCTTAGGGTACTAAACAGTTCGCTTCAAGAATGTCAGAACATCTTGAACTTGTTCTAAAGACTCAAAACCATTTCCTCATCTGAGGAAGATCTCTATGGAAAGAGAAAGAAAGCAAAAGTGTAGGGTGAGAAAAGTCAGAATCTCACAGTGCTACAAGCGCAGTTTGTCTCAATTACTCCATGTAATCCGGAAAGATACAGTTTGTACAGAGAGATAATATTTTTTATTAGACTAACTGTCATGAACTTCTGAATCACTTATTTTAGCAAAGGGCATTTCTTTTCCATGCAAATTTTGCCTTGTTTTAATCAGCCTTACTAGTAACAATATGAAATAATTGTGTGTCTGTTTAGCTAGACTGGATGTTCCTAACTGAATTGGATCTTCAGATTTACATTAACAGAGCGCTAAAGGGCACAGATTAAAATCAAAGGGTTGATATTTCAGTGTGTGTTATCCTTTTTAAATATTTTGTACACATCAGTAGTTTGACTGCTGCATATGTGTAAAACAGGAATAAACTTTCACTCAGACTCCTTTTTTTACAGTAATGCTTCTACACCCATTTACCAGTCTACTTCCTCAGCCACAGTCACCTCACTGTTTCCCTTCTTGCATATGAATAACAGGCAAACAGTGCTAGCATCTTGAGAATTTGGGAATATACAGTGTCCATCAGAGGGATGGGATCATGGGTTATGTAGGAGCATCAGTTATCTTACAGCTATCTTCAAGGAGCAATACTTTCACTGCAGTGCAGTTCATACATGTGAAAATACAAAACTAATACAGCACTTTTATGGTGCTTCAAAATGAAGCATAGCAAGCATATCAAAGGCTGATAGGCTGCAACAGATGAAAGGACCCAGACTGGATTTGGCACAATTGATGATTTTAAGCAGGCATATCCACACTGCCTGTTTACCACCTATGATGTGCATGCCAGTTGTTGGTCCAAGGAATGAACACACTGTTCATGTGTCCAAAAGCCAACTGCTCGAGGACCTCTTAGCCACCCAGCAGGTGGGGCACAGTAAGTTATGCTGTGATCTGTAATGTCAAACTACTACTCCAGGTCAGTCAGAAATGTGCATCAGCATGCACCACAAACCTGCAAGTGTGATTATAAGGAAAATTTGCACCTACAGGTAGCTCGCTGGTGTACTGAATTGCTAATGCAGATGCACCCTTAGACACTGGTCCTCACAGTGGTGAAATGGCAGTCATGTTTGCAAAGAAGAATGCTTATTTTATACCGAATCACAAGTCTCCTGAAAATCATTAGTTATATAGACACAAAAAGAATTTTACAAGTATCTTGCTTATCCTTCATCATCCTAATTGTGCATTGCTGTCTGAAATGATAGAAAACGGAATTAGAACCTTGCAGTGCTTATAATATATGTTAGATAAATCTTTGTTTAAGTTGTTTAATTCTCAGTTGATTTTAGTATCTGGTAAGTGTGATTTAATAAGTACAAAAAGTTACGATGTTGCATCAATGTTCCATGAGAACAACATACTCAGCATTGTGATTTAGATATTCTCTTAAAGACAGTAATTAATATGAGACTAATTATATACGAGAGCAGTACAGTACCTGATCCACTACTTCTTCTGTTGGGCTTTTTGTTTTGTTGGTGCACAAAACCAGCCTATCCTGGACACAGTCACCTTAATTGTAAGTGACAGCCAGTGAGCAGCTTCTTGTGTTGCACTGTGCAATGTCTGTGACTGAGGCACTGAGCTCCAAAAGGCAAATCTCTGTTGCATGTTTACTTTTCATTTTACACATGAAAGGTATAACAATAATTGTAACTTCTCCATTAGTGGAGTTGGTTTTGTGGGGGTTTTGTTTGTTTGTTTTTGATTTGAGCTTTTTTTGACATATCTTTTTATTCTCAGGAAAACAAAGAGAGGAGAGAGGAGCTTGAGAAGAAGCAAAAGAAGTTGCAGTCTGTCCATGGGAATGAAATGAGTCCTCCCTGGAGGCCACCTGGCAAAGTCAAATATTCAGGGTATTACTGAGAACTCTATTGCCTTCTAGAAGAAAAGAGAGTCCACAAAGTTCTGACAATTGCTAGTCACTATTTCATTAACAGTTGATTTTCACTGGATCCATTGTAGGTGTTACATTCTTTCTTTTTAGTTTATTTGATCTCTACAGTTTAAATAAATCACTTGTCTCCTTCCATTGCTTTAGAAAATGTACAAATTTTTCTAATTCCATGTTTGATGTAGTTTTGCTAAATTCTATGCCACTTCATACCTCTTTGGTACCTTTTTCATGAAAGTGTATATTCAGGATAAATGAGGATGGACTCTGGCATTTTTTTCACCCAATAGGTAGCAGAATGGTTATTTTTAAGTTACTAAGCCCCACTCTTGAGAAGTTAAGTCTTGAAGGAGTGCTTTGAGGAGGCAGCAGGGTGGAGATGATGGACAAGGAGATGTTGGCTCTCTTGTGATAGTAGAAGACAAAAGGCTAAGGAGAAAGGTAGGAGGATGTCATTTTCATACACGAAGAGATAAGCTACAGAGAAAATAGACTATGTTACATTATAAAATATAAATACAGGTCCTAAATTAAAACTGCGTCTAGCAGAAGCAGGTTTTCATGGGGCCAAAAACAGTGAGCCATGTGATGGCGCAGAAGAATTAAACTAGAATCCATATACTGTAAAATTATATAGGACTAAGTAAGACTGAAGCTGTTAACTCCCTTTCAGATCTTCATATACGTTCCATAGATGTCCTGCTTCCTACACAAAAAAACAGTTTTAGAGACATATTCACACAAAGGCTTACATAAGAACTGCAAGGGCAGAACAGTGGTACTCTTGTGAGGCAACCTTAGAACAGAAAATTATTTTTTTGGAACTTAATTTAAAGGCTTCTGTGATTGTTTTTACATGATCGAGTAAATCCTCCCCAAACACATTTTCATCATTGCTAATGAGCAGGTTGCTGTAGTAAATTACAACTTTTTTTTTTCTTTTTTCTTTTTTTTTTTTTTTTGCTATTTGCCTCACTATTTTGGAAGCAATGCCAAGACTACGTGTCTTTAGAGATCTTCACATCTCTTGTTTGCCTGCTGTCTAAACTCAAGCTGTTACTTTTGTTTGTGTTTTCTTATTTGAACTTTAATAATCACTCCAGATCATATATGCTCCTCAAATGTGTATTCTTTAAAACAAAAACAAACCAGTACCACCAACCAAGAAGAAGAAAACCAAACCACCCTAGTCTTTAATTTATAGATATATTTTCTCAAACGAAAATCTTGTTCCTGTTTAGACTGGCAGCCTCCTTGGAAAGTAAAAGGAGCATTTGAGAAGTAGACTTGTCTTTTTCACTAGAGTTTTTTCCTGTTCATAAATCTCTGAGATAGTCCTTAAGTGTACATTTCATGTAAAACTGAGGCATCTCCTCAGAAAAAAAAAAAAAAGACAAATAGAAAAGACTGACAAACAGATTATTTTTTTTAGTGATGTTTCTTGCTTGTTGTTTTTTTTTTTTTACATTTTTATGAGAGCCACTGAGGATTTAGAGGCATTTGTTTTGGCCATAATGGTTTATATTACCCAAGTGCTGAACGGGTGAAATTTATTGCTGGTATGTATGTACAAATGAAATCAGAAGAGTGCCTATTCTGCCTCAGTATTCAATAGGGTCCTGTTCATTATTGCTGGTATGAACACTGGTTTTGTGAACTCCCAACTCAGCCCTTTTGCAAAGTTTATGACAGGCAGAAGCAGGTGCTAGAAAGAGAAAAGCTAAGATACATTTGGTAGCTGGGTTGTTACCGTCATTAACCTCATTTCTGTCAATAAACAAAAGTAGAGGAAGGCTTGCAAAATGTACAGTATTTCTGTTGCATATGATCTACTAACAACGTCAAGAAGTATTTGCTTGAGAATAATGTTGAGCTTTCATTAATGGTTGTGCTGGATTTGTGCACAGCCACATCATCTGACAGATTGGATTTGATCCATTGTGAGGAGTGTTTGCAGATTTGATACGGCTTCTAGATGAGGAAGTAATTTTGCTACAGGATCAGGCCTGAGTATATTGCCTGGTATTTTACCTTGAATGGCTCAACTTCCAGTTGCTTTTCATGTACCTTGCTCATGGTAGCCCTGTTGCATATTGGGATTTTTGAGCAGAACCCTGCTGGTTCTGGCTCTTGCTTTTAGTTCTGTTTCTTCCTCAAAAAGATAACTGTGCTGGACCTGGCTTTTGTTCTTTTGTTTGTTTCTAGCCTTTTGTCACTGGGCTGTTCTCCCATAAATGTTTGTCTGGAACAGGTTTTTCCACTGAAGAGTTTGAAGAGAAGCCAGGGACCTTAATAATACCCATCCTTTGATTACATACAGTCTGCAGGTAATGCACTCTTGATGTCTTCCAGTGAACCCTAATGACAATAGTGACCTTTTTGATGCTTCTGTGAGACTCAGATTTGTGCCAAGAGTCATCACCCAGACACTGAACTTCTGAGTAGGGCAGTGTTCTTGCAGGTTGATGCTAAGCTCATCTTCTGTCATTTGGGAAGAGGAAGACATTGGTCAAAAGGGAGAGAGGGCAGGAGAGAGGCTGGAGCTTTCATAAGCACCCCAAACTCTGCAGTCAACTCTTGCCAAGCTCCTGGAGTCTGGCTGTGTTCCAAGGCCCTTGGTGTTTTTTTTTTTCAGGTGGACTCTATAGTAGTACTCATGCTGAGTTGCCTGTACTGCACTGTTGCAGTGCATGGCATTACAGAAGTTCCCAGCTAAGGGATTCTGCACATTAGCTATTTGTAGAGATCAATGAATCCAGATTTTTATCTGGCATAAGCCAGATATTGCAGATAAGCAAATATCTGGTTTTCATAACCTCCAGGTCTGGCTCTGGCTATTCCCTCGTGGCAAGCCAGTCATTTTTTCCAGCAGTAGTGGCATCAGATCAACAGTATTGGCCTTTAAAGGGTAAGAAACTTTCAAGAAGCTGAAAAAAATGCCCAGCCAGAGCAGTTTCACTGGTCAGCCTAAGAGGTAGGGAAAAATTACATATAGCAGCAGGAGAGGTAGTGGGATCGCAGCATAGGCAGAATGCAACATACTGCCAACTCAAAAGTTACCCACCCAGATTTTATGAGAAAAATATTGAATGAATTCAGGTCTTTAGACTGGAGCTGTGGTGTGCATCATTGGTTCTCTAGGCTTCTAGCTCTTGGAGCCTTGAATTCAGGTTTAGTTTGTTAAGAAACTCCAGCTGTGGTATCATGGATGGATGAAATGTGTAGCAGGCAATAGAGTTTGCTGTCCAACAGATCTGGGAAATCTGAGACAAGGAATACAGTCTGTGACAAACGAACCATCTGGATCTTTATTTTCGCAGTGTCCAGCTGGAGGAAGTAAGGCAGGAAGTACAGGTCTGTACTTGAGAAGATGCAAGTGAAAACTGTGGCAGAGTTAGTGACAGAGATTAAAAAAAGTTTGTTGGGTGCCTGTGCCTGAGCTGCATACTGCATTCTTACTGGGTTTAAGCCTTTAGTTGACTGGGTGGAAGGTTCTTGACAGAAAATAGAAGTGAGAAGATGTTGGTGACATCTTTCAGAGAAGTGAGAAGGCACTCACGTAAATTCACAACTTCTGAGTTAGAAAAAGATGCTGAAGATCTGTAGACGGGGGAAAGCAGTTGATGTGTTTAACTTTTATGGTAAAATTTTTGGAGCTTTGTCTAATTTTACACTATAAAAACTTGGACATGTTACATCATGATGCAAATGTCAGAAAAAATAGGGATGAGAAATATGAACATATGTGCATTAATTTATAAAAATGTACATGTATCTGTGTAAATCCTGTCTATATGTTTTTTGATGTCAGAGGAAAAATATTTTGTATTTAATAAAGTATATTTTATTATAATAGCCTTAATGTTTTTAACAGGTCCTAGGATACAAATCTTTGTTTAAAACTTTAATACATGGAAGTGAACTAGGCAGTGTCCCTAAGCACAAGCTATTCTTTCATCACTGTTAATATGACAAGTACATAGGGAACTTCAGTATCCCACTGAACTCAGAGCTTCTACAGCACTACAGCTGTCTCCCCCACCTCCCTGACACTCTTACTTGCTGCCACAGAATGCAAACATTCATTTAAAGAATGTAGTTTCCAAGTCATAACTGGGAAGATGATCAGTATCTCTCTTTCTTTTTTCCGAATTAATTCATTCAGGCATAAAGTTGCTACATCGGTGCACCAAAGGAGCAGGCTGATGATACAAAATTTTTAGGTCTCTCATTCTGGGTAAGAAAAATTATATGCTGTTCTCTGTTGTATTTTTTTTCTTTCAGATTCCCAAAATATCACCTTATCTGGCCTGTATGCCATGGACTGCTATGTTTCATTTGGTTCACTCTGTGTTCAACTGAGTTACTTGACTCACTAACAGAGATAAAAGTCTTGGGCTGTGAACACTGATGGCAGCCTTGGTTGCACATAAAAACCTGGACTTGCTCCAGTTTGTCCATCTCTTTCTTGCACTTGGGAGCCCAAAGCTGAACATGATGCTCGAGATGCAGTATCACTCCAGCTGCAGTCCCACACATGCCAAATAGAGGGGAACCATCACTTCCATCAAGCTACTGAATACAGTTGGTGATACAACCCACAGTGTTACTGGCATTCTTTGCTGTGAGAGCCCAGGGCTGCCTCTTCTCCTCTGGCACCCTGAGGTATTTTCCTTCAAGGCTGTTTTCTTTCCATTGGGGCTCAGTCTGTACTATTGCCTTGAGGTTATTTGGCCCTAGATACAGGACTTACTTTGCCTTTGTTGACCTTTAAGCTTCCCATCAACCCACTTCTCCCACTCTTTTGGGAACTACTTGGCTCCCTGGACTTAGTTATGTCCACTTAACTGAAGTGCTCCCCTATTCTGTCTTTCTCTTCAGTGCCTGAGGGCTGACCTCATCAGTAAAAAACCAAAGAAACAAACAAGCAAACAAACAAAATACATCAAGCACATGAGCTTCTTCCATGTCCTGTGTCACTAAGTCACCTGGCCCCCTGAGCAGCAGGATCACGTATTTATTCTAGTGCCAGTGTACTTAAAGAAGCCCCTCTTTTTACCCTTGAAGTCTTGTATGAGCTTTAACTCCTGCAGATCTTTGTTTTTAGTGAATGCTTCCATGCTCACTCAGTTTTGTCTCTATTTTGCTCCATCTCTGTGCCTCATTACTGTCTGAACTCAGGCAGGAGAGCCCCGTTCACACACACTGGCTGCCTGCCACACTTGCTCGACTACCCACACATCAGAATGGACTTTTCCTGTGCTTTGGCAGGGATGTTAAAGAAGGTCAACCAGCTCTCCTGGGTCGTTTTGCTTTCCAGGGCAGCTTCCTGTGAGATCCTGCCAAACAGATCCCTGAGCATCATCTTCTCTCCTGAAGGCCAAGGTTGTGGTTCTGTTTGCCTCGCTGCTTCTTACATGATTGAAAGTTTCACTGTCTCAGGGTTGTGGCAGCCAAGCAGCCATCAGCTCTCACAACCCTGGGCAGTTCATCCCTGTAACCATCCATTAACTAAGGTTAAGTTCCCAGCACCTCTTAGGGCGTCAGCACTTCCACCCTCAGATTTCTACTGAACCATTGGCTTTTAAAGAACAATTTCTAAGATTTTAATAACATTCATTGGTTAGATTTACTCCTAATGGATAGTAAAGTAATTGCAAAACTCTTATCTGATTATTTCAGCCTGGGGCACAGAGAAATCTGCTCTTACTAGCAGATTGCATTCAGGCAGTTGAGCTCTTTTCAATATAGCACATAATTTTAGCACCTACACTCAAACAGAGGAAAAGTGCTACTAAAAGGCCTTAGTATTGGAAGGTATTTTTCTCTTTTGCTACTACTTCTTTTATGAATACTCTTTCTCTGGATATATTTCTGGATATATTCGGACTAGAATAGTTGACAGTTTTTCATATACTTTTTCATTTAAAGAAGCATCAAATACTCCCATTATATATTATCATTTTTCATGAATAGTCTGGTCCCTGATGCTAAGAAATAATAGGAGGATAACATTCTACACAAGCATAATTATCACTCAACACTTAACTGTTGTAATGCCCAGGTGGAACATCGGTATTAACAATAATGCCCTGGTTGACTTCTGTTTTCCTTTGTACCCTTTAATATGGTGTCATATACTGAGCACCTGTTCCTGTATGCTGATTTA